GTCTATGGATTGCATAAAAATGTGGTCATTGGTCTACGTGAATCAAGTTTCCATGCATTGTTTTTAAATGTCAAGTAGTTGAAGATCATAAACAGGAAATCCTACTTGACATAGATCTTATGCAAGTTGGGACTCAGTAGCAAAGCGTACCTGTAATCTAATGGGAAATGATTATTATCAGATGGGGTTTTGCGGATATTGTAGTAATTTCAATGGTTGCAACCATGAGTCATTTAAAGGTAGACCATTATGGAAAACCTGAGAGCACTGGATGGTCATTTCGTCCTCGCATGGAACTCCACAACAATGCACATGCACGATCTCGCACCCCTCCCCGCGAGATTCGAACCGAGAACCTATCAATATCGTACGCGAGCGCTTAACCACTAAACCACTGAGCTGGCATCTAGTGCTTCCAGGTTTTCCATAGTGGTCTAGCTTCAAATGACTGATGATTTCAACCATGGCAATGATTATCCCTAAAAAATTGAAACGTATATCATTCAGCTTTATAATCTATGAACTAAGCAATGAACTATTCAATAATATAAAATCTCAGTTCATAATTTTTTATAGGCTACCTTTAACCATTTCACAACTCAAATGTTACATTACTATATAGAAAAATAAAATAAGATCACTCCATTATAATTCGAATTAACTATTATACAGAGTATTTGTTTTCAATTACCGGTTTTTGTAATGGTTTCAACAAAAAATGAAAACAAAATATACCCATTGTCCTTTACCTAAATAATGATGAATGAACTAAACTACCTAATTCATTAAAGTACAATAGCTATTCATTTGATAAATAAATTGTTGATGGAAATTTTCTTTTTTGTTTTTGTTTCTTTTTTGTTTCCTTTTTAAATAGAGTCATTAAGTTGTGAAAATACAAAAATAATAATAATAATAATCCGATTATAATTACTAAAACTAAATTGACTGTAAAATTAAACTATTCTTCGAATATCAGAAAAAGGGTTTTTGTGGAGATTTTTGGAGATTTCACTGGTTGAAATCATACGCACTGCTGAAGAGTCCCATACTAGGACGAAACGGTCGTCCAGTGCTTCTAGGTTCTCCATCGATGATCTAGCTTCAAATGACTCATGATTTCAATCAGTGAAATTTTCTTAGAATAAACTGATATATAATAATTCATGATTCATTTTATTTAGATCAACTGAAAACTATTATAAAGTCTATTAATCTTTTTTTTTAAAGAACTTATTTGTTAATCATCATACTACTGACTCTATTGAGGTGTGACTACAATCATCATTTGAAGTTGGGCTAACTGTTGGTTGCTAAATGTAACTCGATAGACTTTCGTAGATGAAGATAAAGCCGTAAAAATATTGGGCTATACTACAATGTATACTATTCACACACACCCACACATACGCACAAAGAAAAATAACCATTTTTATCAGGTTCCAATCATTTATGCTTTAGTTTCTGTATTCATACTCTTAGATTTTCAAGATCATTACTAATCTAGTTTTTTAATGAAGTACTTCAAGAAGAAGTATTCTTCTATGGTATGAACAACTGGGAAATGATAATCGTCGACAAACTTAGAATGTCACTCAATGTTATATGTCTATATGTTCATTTGTTAATGTTTCTTCTACTTCATTTAAATATCATCATAAGTCTTACATTTGATCTTAATCCACATTATCACTAATTAAATTGAGTAATATAAAAGTATCACTATTCAGTAATGAAATTTAATTATGAAGTATGTCAAAAAAGAAAATGAACAGTGGAAAGATGTGTATGAGGCCTACCTAAAAGATTTTAAAAAAAAACCCAGAATATTTTTGGTTCCCAAAGTTTTTCATATGTAGTTCAGGCATAGAATAGTAATGTAACATTAAATCATTCTATCATGTCAATATCATTCAGTGTATTCATTAGAAATAATTTGGGTGAAAAAAACTAATTTCAAAACAGGTTTCAATTTAATTTGAACAATATAAAGCGAATATTTTGTCTTGTTAGAAAACTGATTTATCCATGAAGTTTTAAGTAATATTCTCTGATTTCCCCCATAAATATTTTGTTTCACTAATTAACCATGATACGAGTGTACTAACAATCAGATTGTAATTAGTATATTAGTTTTCATATCTAGTAGAAAGGTTAAAAACTAAGTTAAAAAGAGTGATCACATTGCAGAACACGGGTGGGGATAATCGTATTGTATTTAGCACAAAATTACAGAGGTACATGATAAAATAGAAAAACCATTCTATGATACTTAATTTGCAAAATGTTCAATAATTGTCTTGAACTTCATTGTTCTTGCATTTCCATACTAATTGCTTTCTATTACCGCGTTTTCTTTTCTGATCTTCCCCATTTTCTGCTGCCAGACATTACATTCTTGACTCAAGTAATATACTACTTATATTAATATAAGGTAGCACACACCACAATATGAGTTTAGAAAAGTAATGAAATGACGAGTATATCAATTATAAACACTTTTTTTATATCAATAGGTAAATCTAGAGAGATTATATCTATCTATGAAGCTTCAACAAATCATTCCTTCTGACTTCTCCATTAAAGTTTCGTTAATCAATCTTGGTTAGACCTACAAATATACACGGTTAATATATGCTTATTCAGTGTATTAACACTTCTATAAAATTTCAGAAAATCAGCTCTAATCAGTTGCTTTTTACATGTATATAGATTTTATTATTATCTGTCATTTTCATTACCTGTATAGTAAAGTAGTGTAAGATGTTGATCTATAAACGTTTTTTAATAAAGAAGAGAATATGTTGTCACTTTGTCAGTTATCAAGTGTCAAAATAACATTCTGAGTTAATTCAGACATTTCATGAAATTTGAAATTGTTTCTCAAATAAGTAAGACCACTAACCTGCTTATTAACAATCAAGTGTCCCAGTGACAACACTGGACCTTAACAAAGTGGTTTTTTATGTTAAAGAGAAAAACATGAAAAACCTAGTTAGATGTTTTGTAAGTAGGGTTGGGAAGATATGCTCAAACGACACCGTAAACAAGAAACTAGAGCTTATTCAAAATATCTTGATTGAAGTGGGTTATTTACAAGGTGTTCTAAAGAAACACGCGTCTATAATGAACAGGAAAATAGTGACATCAACGGTTAGTAAGAAAGCTTTGTTCCTAATGTTACAATTTACTGGAAATGTAGCTAGAGAGGTACTATGTGATTGACTGACTTTAACTATGAAGAGAGCTAAATTAATCAGTTGGAACTATAAATAATCATATGCAAAGAATAGTATGATATTTTCGCTCTACAAAGGTTGAGTCTCAATAAACAGTATTTTTGATATGATATCTTTTAAATTTACTAGTTTGTATGTACAAGATATTTGACGTAACCTCAAACTATTGTGAATTTGATTCGGTTATTTATTTACTCTGAGGAAGGGGCTTATATTAAGTTACGAAACGTCAGAAATACAATTCTTCTGCTTATTGGAATATAAGAAAAAATATAATTATTATCAATGAAGAGAAAGTTTAATGCAGCTAGCCACTGTCTACTGATTTCTAGCCGACATCAAAGGATAAGTTACCTTGTTCTCCCACTTCCACGTATATCTGCGAATTCACCTGCCCCGGTGGAAAAAGCTATATTGAGCATATAACTAGACAAATGAGCCAAAAAGTTAGTGAACACTTCCCTTCGTTGTTAGGAAGGGTTATAATCAAAACAATACCCCGCTCTATTTTATCACACTTGATCGATAGCGTCAATTTACTAAATAGAAATAAATCATTTGGTGTAATTTATCGTAAACCTACAAGCTTTCTTTCTGAGGTTCAACCTCTTCTATGAATAACAACTAGAGTTAACAACCCGTCTTTGTGTTCATATGTAATTTGTAACACCCTTATCTTTCGCTTGGTCAAATCGGCCTTAACAGACGATTTTACTGATTATTATTTTCCATACACTTTGTTGGTTTATTTTTTACACCCCTCCTTTTTCACATGTACGCTTCACTGTCTAACTATCTGCTTAGATCTATAATCCTTAATGAATACTATTTCATTGTGTATTTTTCCAAGTCATTGACCTATTTCCTATTGCGAAACGTTGGTTCAAGTCTTTATTATCCTTACCACAACTAGTACACCAGTCATCACACTAATAATTTATAATATCCACTTACTATATTTAGTAATGTAATCTATTCCACCGTTATCACTTACCCATAAACTCTCTTAATCAGTTCAATAATTCTATATATGCATATCAATATCCTTGTATATTAGCGTACAACTTGAAGAGGATGTAGATGTCAACAATATAATTTGCTTATATGTATGCTATTCAAATCTACCATATTGGTATTTTTAGTATTTTAAAATAATAATCAATAATGATGAACTGTAAAATGGAAGGAATTCTAAGACATTTACATAGATACTGAATGTAACTTAAATACTTCAAGTGAATTCAATTCTTTTTGTTTATTTACCTTTACAAATGATTATTGAATATATGTATATACAAAAGAAAATAATAAAGAAAAACCTATTCACCATATTATTCAATGTTTAATTTATTAAACACTTATTATAATTATAAGCAAAGATGGATAGTATCTAACAGTGGAATCCAGCTGGACGTGTGTTTCATCCTATTTGGAGTTCGTCAGCTGGATATGTCTGCATCTCAGAGTTGATGATCACAGTGAGAGTCAAATCCTGTAACTTTCGCTTCAAACGCCATCACGTTATCCACTTAACTACTGAGTCCTGATAGCTGCTTGCTTCTGCAATGGGGTGAAGTTATATTCATTTGATATTGTTTACTTATATCTTCCCATTGTTATTTGGTTAGTCTCTTGTTACAGTTATAAACATCAATAGAAAGATCTAAATAAACAATACCAAGTGAATTTACTATAATTATTTTAGCACTGATAAAAACCATAATAATTGTATTGTTTTCTATCTTTTGTTTATATTTCTAGGATCGTAAAGGCAATCACTTTTATATGGGATTAAATCATGAAGGTGTCATTACGTATAGAGGAAGTAGAAAAGCACATGTTTTTAGTTGGTAAGATGCTATATATGATATATATATATATATATATATATATATATATATATATATATATATATATATATATTTTATATGAACTAGGCTGTACATTAAAATGTGTAATTGTTTTAGTAACCGCATTCTACAATAGTGAGATACTCGTGTTGTTACTAATCGTAAAATATTAACTTTCTATTTATAAATATGATTTTTGTAAAGGTGGCTTAAAATCAACCAAATTTTATAAACAAAGAATATAATATTGTGTTGATAAATATTATTCAATTATCGTTACCAAGGCTTAGCAACACCCATTAATATGATGAATGGATGTTGATAGTTTACTTACTCGATCAAACTTCTAAGGCCATATTTATGTGTGGATAACTATTCCCTTATTAGAAACATCAAGTACAACGTTTTCAAAATTAAATACATTGATGATTTTTTCTTAATATTCATTGATTATTGATGTAAGTATGGTTAATGGAATAACGTTGTCTCTTTAGTAAAGTGTATCAATCTAGTAAGTATTTGAATGCAATGAGAGTAGTTTTTGCCTGTTATTTCAAAGTGAATGTTTACGTGACACACTAGGTTTCAAGTGAGGAACATTTACGAAACATTTGGTATACTGATTAAAGAATCTTCTTTAAGTAAAAATCACTTTATGAATGTAGAATATGCATTCCAAGGTAATAATGTTCGACACTTTAACCGGGTTGGTACATATAGAGGAATCACTTAAGAGAGTAGGGAAACCCTTATTCCAAAACAATGGTGCACATGGGCTCCAGGATCCTAAGGGAAGAAATGGCGTATGACCGGCTACCATGGGACTATATCTCCTTACATCGCTCCACTGCCTTGTAAATTATAACTTTAGGTTGAAGGCTACGGGTGTGGTCCCCTAAGAAAACCACCCATTCCTTCAAAAAATTAAGTAAACAAAAAATGAAGTCATTTGTTTTACATTAACATTGAAATATGTTTATGATTGACAGGAATATTAATTTTTCGAAACTACTATTTAACAAATGTATAATACAACAGGTTATGTGTTATAGGCAACAATTAGAAACTATATAAGTAAAATTTTAATGAATATAATATGAATTGGATCAATATAAAGTGAAAGCAGTTGTATCTGTTTCATAAGAGTTTCATTCAAATGTAAACTGAAATGCTCTAACGATTGAATAAAGCAATTAGAAACATAGAAAAATGTAATATTGAAAATAACTACTTGCATTTATATTCATTCATTAAAACATATATTCTGAAGACTAACTATAGATATTATAAGCAAAAATGGATGGTGGCTAACAGTGGAATCCAAGACGTGCGTCTTGTTTTATTCAATACTTGTCAACTGGGTGTATCTGCATCCCACAGTTGATGTTCATACTGGGACTCGAACTCAATGACGTTCGCGTGAAACGTCATCGCGTCTTGGATTCCACTGCTAGCCTTCATACATCTCCTTTCGTAATGATTGTAACCTAAGACAGTATCGAGGGAATCCGTACAAGATACATATATACCAATAAGAGATTGATCGATTGCAGTCCCGAGCATTATTGGGAAAATTTATACAAAAAATACAAAATGAATTTAACTGTAGATATTTTGTCTCAAAAGTATACTTTATATAGATAGAGATATAAACTATCTCTCAATAACCAAATAACCGACGAAATATTTACTGACTTCTAATGATGGAATACTTAATTTATTCTTTGAGTATTTCTGAAAGAGTATGATTGTTCTTAAAAATTCAGGAAACAATGAATAAATACTTTCTAAGTGTCAGATCTAGAATTTGAATTTCTGCCACGACGCATACAACATTAGCGCTCAAACGCTCGAACCCTTCAAAATGCAAGTTAGTCGACAGAAAACGAGTGGAAAGAAGTCTTATTCAAACAGTCAAATATGGTACAAAACCTTGGATATTTATGGTTTTTCAGTAGTTTTCAGCACTTATTTTATCGGAAAGTTAAATATCGAGATTCTAGAACGTTCTTTCAAAAGATGATTAGGCGGAATGCCTTCGGTTTTTTCATAGCTTTTTAAAGCTTCTTTAAGTCCATCGGTAGCCCTCCCCTTATTGAGTCTTACCAGATGTACATGTGTTGAGGTAATTGAGACTAGCCTACACTATCCACTGACCTATCTTTTATCTTAGTTGACATTCGTCAGTGATGAGTACCTATTGCGTTCAATTACGAGTTGTTCAGTTTCACAATCTATCACATTATTACTGGGTTATTGAGTCAACAATTGACCTGAGGTATTTAAAATTGCTTTATCACTGGATTGTGACTAACATCATGTTTAACGTGTTCTACAAATAGTATTAGCTCCCTAAAAAATGCGGCTATGACTTAGTGGTAGATGATAAATAGCACGAAACCTAAATGAAATAAAGCTTCAAGTCAACTGCTTTCAAATGACTTATATCTAAATATAGAGTTTGGTAATTTAAGCTCATTAGATTACTGAACATTTTGAGGCCTAATCGACAGAAATTGGTCAGTACTTAAAACATTTGATAAACATTGGTATCGGTCACTAATAAGTGGTTGATCAATTTTATAACCCCAGCTATTAGGTCAAACATATGATTCATAAAAATGTGAATATTTTATTAAACCAGTAAACACTACACCATCTATCTATCTATCATATAATAATGATTTTTATGCAGGGAATACTTTCGAACATAATTCTACCTTATATAGTTGGTACTTACACATGCTATAATCAAGCAATGTTTTATTTTCAGAAGGGGTTTGTGGATATTTTAGAAATTTCACAGATTGAAATCATGAGTCAATTGAAGCTAGATCACCATGGAAAACCTTGAAGCACTGGACGGCCGTTTCGTCCTGGTATGGAACCAGGTTTGTTGTGAGATATCAGCTCACTGAAGACAATGGTATACGGTGGCGCAACTTCGTGGATTGGTTGAAGTTAGACATTAACACCGTTGGATGCCGGCTCAGTGGTCTAGTTGGTTAGACGCTTGGCGCGAGACTGATAGGTCCTGGGCTCGAAACTCGCGGGATGCGGGATCGTGGGTGCGCACTGCTGAGGAGTCCCGTACTAGGACGAAACGGCCGTCCAGTGCTTCCAGGTTTTCCATGGTGGTCTAGCTTCAAATGACTCATGATTTCAATCTGTGAAATGTTTTATTAGCTTTATTATGCTTTGTTTAGTCAATCACAGTATTTTCATTTTCTGACATTTTACCTATTTTATGAATTAATAATTTATCTTTAGGCAGAAAATCAATAAAATAAGCTATGAAGGGAAGTTATTCATTATACAAGTGGAATGGGAACAGGTATATTCTCATTTTATTAATATCTTTGATTGTTTCCTTAAGTTAATTTGATTTGTATACTGTTAAGGGATATTTCATATAATAACAGATATTTATAGATAATGATATCGTTTGTTAATTTAAACACTTTGAAATTGTTACCTAAAAGTATATAATAATGAAGTGTTTTGAACAAATCACAGTCAAATATATACACTATTTGATGTTGGCTCAGTGATCTGAAGATTAAGGATTTAATGTGAGATCCGATTATCCTGATGCTTCGATATTCTCATTAAGTCATAAGCATTATAAACAGAGATAGATGGTAGCTGGCTAGAGAGAGAAAGAATGGTCAATCTCAGTTCTAATAGGAAGCTTCAAACAGCCAGTATATGTGAATTCAAATTCAAATTTATCCCATTATACGGGTTACTAGTTATCTAGACTCAGTAGCTAAGTAGATAGCGCGATGTCATTTGAATTGAACGATACTGGGTTCGAGTCCTTTGGTGAACGTCAATTCTGGGATGCAGATATACCCAGTTGATTAGTTCCAAATGGGAAGAAACTTACGTCCTGCTAGATGCTATCCATCTCTGCTCCTAAAGCTTGTAACTTAAGTCAGGATGCACTTTTACCAATAAGAGACTGAACAATTGCAGGTGTTAGCTTAAGTGTGAAAAATCAAACAATCAATAAAAAATCAGTCGAAAACACTATATGATGTCGGCTCAGTGGTCTAAAGGTTAAGCATTCCCTGACCTGACTGCCTGAATTAAATCACTTCTGATGGGGTCATGCTTATACATTGTTGAAGGGTGTGATTGCTGGATTAAATAACTATTCAGTGCTTCCTTGTTTTTGCTAGTTATTTATTAACACCATTTATGTTTCTTCCAAATAAAATAAAATTTTATTTTCAGTAATTAAACAACTGAGTTAAATAAAACCGTAGTAAGCGATAAAGTGAATTAAGGACGATGTTCTCTAATGGTACAGCCAACAAACTATTTAATATAGGCACTTTTAAAGAATTTTAATATAGAGCAAAGTGGCTATCTTAATTTTTAGCGATGGGGTACCTAACCCTTCCGAGGTTATTCTAGAATGTAAGTCAGTGATTTTTTATGTTTAGAATTCAAATCATGGGGTTTTCATTGTTCGAACAACAGGATTGGAAAATGGAAATATTCAAAGATTACGTAATCTAAGCTTCCAAAAGTAATTGTTTACTTCACTGATAAACTGACAGTTTATGACCTTATCAACTTTTCTGTTCGTCATGCGAATTTATTTTTTTTTATCAAAGATTTGAGTTGGTTATCAATTTTTATTTTTAATATAATATTATTTTGAACAATTTGAAGCGTCGACATACACTTGGTTTCAAATGTCCAACTCCAGAATCAGCTGAAGCATTATGGAAATGGGCAGTTGATCGTCAATGTTTTTTCACGTAAGTGAAATATATTCGAATTTTTTAAAAAAGTAATTGAGTATTTGTTTTGATGTATGATTTTCAATCTGGAAGTTAAAAGTTCGTACGTATGATCAAACATCCTGGATTTGATTATCAGATGTGAAGTCATGAATAGGTACTAAAGCCATACAATTAGTCATGTTTAAGTGAGTTAAATAAGAAGAAACAGACAACTTTACAAAATGGAGTATTTCATAGAGTTAGAGTTATTTGGAAATGAGTTAGGCATCAAGTAGCCAACTAGACTCAATTGGTTATTCCATAGAGTTTATTTACTTTGAATATAACTGATTCAATACATTAATTATCTATGAAAAAAACTTTTCATAAAAAAAATTTATTCCATTTAGCTTAAATCGATCGGTTGATGCCAAAGAATCCAAAGCTAATGGTGGTTTATTTAAACGTCGTCAATTTTATACATTTACGTAAGATTCAAGTTTTATGATTTATATTATATAATAATATTCTATGTTTCAACGGTATGAAAAAAGCTTCCAATGAACTTTATTTTGAGTTTATTATAAAACATTAATTCAATATTATCTATCCCTAATAAATAGACCAGTACATGATATCTGTGTGGAGTGTGCTACTTATATTGACATAAGTAGTATATGATGTTAGTCGTGAACAGACGGTCTGGCAACAGAGAGACAAGAGGATCAAACAGTAAAGAATCGAAACAGAATGCAATTTGTATGAAAATGCAAGAACAATTAAGTTTGAGTCAAGTTTGAGACAACTGATGGACATTTTGCAAATTAAGCATTTACTTTATGATTGTTAGATTTTGTGTCAAATACATTCGATTGTCGCCATTCGTGTTCTGTTCACTACATCGGTAGTAGTTATAAATCATCCAGAAATGATATGTTTATATCATTGATATTTTTCGGGTAACATTATTATGAATCAATCATCATTAGAAGTCATAATTTTGATTGGTTAACATCAAACGGTAGAATATTGGATTCACATATGTTTAACTAGGAACTATTTAACTGAGTTGAAGTTATTCAACAGCATACTGAGATGTCAAAATGTTGTACATATTGGATATTTTTATCTTACATAATTGTATTGTAAAGCAAGTCTAATTATTATATTATTCTGATAGTTTAGAGAATGAAACTGTACTAATGTGAATGAATTTAACAGCTATCTCTAATTATCTTGTATTCAGTTTTATCAGTAATCTGAAACACTATTGTTATAATTTGTGCCTTGTGTCCTATTAATGCATAACGTGATAATACCACCAATTGGTGAATAGTGAATTATCAATCGGACTAATGATGTATAAAACCCGTACGAGTAGTCTAGAGTCCTTCTCTCATGACTGTTGAATCCAGAACACCAATCTCAGCCTCCACAATATGAATCATTTATCTCAAACATATTGGGTTTATCCACAGACCAGACAGACCACATTGTACCATAAAATAGGAAATAACATTTGTAGAGGATTTAGCCAAATGTGGCTGTGAATGTGGGAGGTAGTAATGAATAGACAGCACATAGTTCAAGAATGGTAAATTGTATCATAATAGTCCATAGGTCAAAATAAAGCTCATACTAAGAGGGACATGAATATGAATAGTTTAGTTACTTAACTATTGTACGATGAAAGTATACGTATGGTATTGGTTCATAAATGGATCTCAACAGTTACCATTCATTATGCTTATCGGAATATAATAACTGTATCATTTAATTGAACTTACTATTGAAGGGATTGGCCAATTGAATTATAAATTTTATTATAACAATCTTATTTATTCAGACAGAACGTAACATTCGTTTTAATGAAAGTCCAAAATGAGACTATTAATTGTTACATAAACTGAATTGATTTCTATTGTGTCAAAGATTTCATTGAAATGATATATTGATATATATAGTAAGCTGAGATCTACATAAGTTTAATCGCTACACAATACCCTATTTGGAAAACTTCATCATGAACCCTATTAAGGAAATTTTGATCAAGAATACATATGAATCAATATGACTTTAAAGAAGTTAAAATCTCTTTATTGAGTAATCTTTTTTATTTTATTCTCCGTTGATTAATACTGATAGTAATTGTTACCCTAACATGGTAGACAGGCTCATACATCGAAATGATTTAATTGAGATATATTGATTGGACAATTTCTCCTTATAGGTTCTATCAACTTAGTAGCAGGTCGGTTAGAGAATACGAAGATATTATTCACTATACATTCTGCAAAGCTTTAGGTCTAACATTTGATGGAGTTTTGTTCTTTGAGCTTTACGACCAAACTTACTTACTTACTTACGCCTGTTACTCCTCGTGAAGGAACATAGGCCGCTCACCAGTCCTGGGCAATCCTTCCCATCTCCTTCCAGTTGTTATTCATCCTCTCCGTATCTGCTTTCATTTCCCGACGTAATGTGTCTTTTGGCCTTCCTCTTTTCCGCCTTACTTCAAAATTCCAGGTTAGGGCTTGTCTCGTGATGTAGTTTAACGATTTGTGTAATGTATGTTTTATCCATTTCCATCATCTTTTCCTAATTTGCTCTTCAGCTTGAAGCTGGTTTTCAGAGAACAAAACTCCATCAAAATCATTGACCTGAACCACAAATTTTCTCCACCATCTCAAATTTCATGACTAACTAAATAACTGATCGAGGCTAATTAATAGATTAAAATAAGTCAATGCTGTAAATAAGCCTAATCTTTAATAATATTAAAATATATTAAAAATTCATTATTGAATGAATACTATACTTTGTAGTCTAATTATTCATTACATAACAAATTCAATCGTTTTAAACATGCGATTAATGGATTACATAAGTTTATAGGGATTATTTTCAGTCCGTTAAAGACACCGTGAATATATATACGTATATACGTACTGTTCCCTTTCACAGTATACTTGTTAGCAAATCAATATATTTCTGAACAAAAAAATAATTTACAACATAGTTACTGAAATCAATAATAGACCTTATTAGTATTATTTCATTAATTTCTCTAATAGTTATATTATCATAGTTATTGTTATTGGGAATAATAAACTATTATATTATATAAATACAAAGTCTCTAAATTATGAGACAAAGTTTAGAAAATGAAAGAAAATATATTTCTCTTGGTAACCATGGTAACTGACAAAATAATGCACATAAACTAACATAAATAAATATGATGTATCAGTTTTACAAGTTGTTTTTTTGTTATATCATCAATACAAATGAATGCATATAATGGATATATATATACTACTTACAACAGTAGTAACAATAGTAACGCTTGTTTGGTAACATGCTTGACGTTTTATTATACAGAGGTGTATAGATATATATTACTTTTATCTGTTTTTTTTTGTGTACAAAATCTCTAGGGGAAGATGCCAAAAGGAGTTAATGCAGCTTAATTCTAGTATGCCTGCTATACCTCAGCCCAGTGTCTCAAGGTAAGTAATAGTATTAGTAGTAGTCATTAGTAACATTAATAATAATAATAATAATAATAAGTGTTTTACTACAACTATGAAGAAACTAGAAACATTAACTTGTATCTATTTATTATGCACATCTATCAAAATAGTGGGATATATATACGTTCATCATTCATAAATAATTCAATAATATTGAATTCTAATTACAAATATCAATGACTATATAATACAGAGAAACAAATGGAGAAGAAATATGTTTACTCATAGTTATCTTATTGTTTTGATAATTATGCGTATATATTACTGACTTACTTAATTACAGTTGTTACCTTTTGTGAGGAAGCATAGACCGGCCTACCAGAATTCTCAATCGAACTGAAAAATAAAAGATTTATTAATATACATTTTGTTGAATCTTCATCATGAAAATATGTTTAGTGTCCTAGCTTCATTTCCAATTTGTTTAGAATGGAATTAAATAAATGGTTGCATTATTACTATTACTAGTGGAGTTAATCCGTGTCGGGTAGAGACAAGTATCTATCTCAGTACAAAGGAAGATGGTCACGCAATTTCATGGATTGGTTGAAGTTAGACATTAACACTGTTGGATGCCGGCTCAGTGGGTTATCGTTCAAGCACGAGACTATAGTCGCTGGGTTTGACTCCGGCGAGTGGGATCGTGGATACACACTGTCACGGAGGAGTCCCACAATAGGACTCCACTATTATTATTACCATTGTTATTATTATTATTATTGTTACCTAGTAATATTGTGCTTCAAAATCTAATCATCAAAGATATTATTATTAATAATCAAATGATCATATCTTTTTGTGATATCGGAAACTTCCGATAGGTTTTTTTGGTGATTTGTTTTAAGTCACTTCTCCAGAGCAAATAAATAAATAAATAAATCAAAAGCGGAATTTCTAATTTCGGTTTGTTTTCATTACACACAAAAATAAATAGTTGATGAGAATTATGCATTAAAAGTAGCTGAGTTGAAAAAATAAACAAGAAAAGAGTAGTTCAAACAGTATAGAGAACAAATAAGTTTAAAGACTAAATAACAGAAGATATAACTCACATAAGAATACACCCCTCCCCCCCCCAACGCACACAAACCCGAAAAGACGTTTGTTATCATTTTATGAATAATGTAATAGGAAATAACAAAAAATTATTGTTATTACTTTCCATTCTGGGTTATTTAATATTGAACATTTTACAATCCACTTAGTTGTATCACTACTAGGATTTCGGCTAGAAGGTTATGATTGTTCATCAAAAGAGAAAGCAATACACTCTATTGAATAAACTATAAAATAAAAGCATTTTTGTTTCTTTAATAAAAGCGATCAGAGTTTGTTTAACTAGCGATTTCAAATATCATAATAATGAACAAACAATTGATTCATTTATTTTTATATTGGTTGTTTGAATTACCCCATTGACATTTATGAGTATAGTTGATCAGTCATTTATTGTGTATATGTGCATTCTGTGCTAATTACCTAGATATTGACTTATGTCACAATCATTAGAATTAGAGATGAATAGGTTCGAGTTTCGAAGTAAACACTAAATCTAGAGTGTACGTGTAATAAGCTAACGAGTCTTAAATATGACGAAACATACGTTTTACATTCGACTGTTAGCCACCATCCATCTCTGATTATAAATAACTAGTTATTTATAATAAACATATAAATTGTTAAACATATAAATTATTTCAATTTATCACATCATGTCAGCATAATAAGATGAGATGATGAAAACAAATCTCAGAGTAGTATAAATAGTATCAGTATTAGTAAAATCTAAGAGGTAAGAAAGAATGGATACATCTATGCCATTACAATAGATTATAATCTAAGTTGACAAATCTCCCCAACTATTGATTATGATAATCATTAAAAAACTTAGACAAATAGTTTCAAATCTACCAATTGTTTAGTAATTTGAAAGATTGATATTGTGTTTTAGTTTGATAACCTCTAGACCTCTTCCAATCTACTCTTCTAACACCAAACAAACAAAAAACTCGTCCTTCTTGTAGTTAGGCATTGATAGTGTATACATAACATATATACCTTATCAATTTATATATCCATAAATTTGTTTACGTATAAAGCTTATTATTTACTGGATACAATATAATGTACAACTTTATTGTTAAAACTAATTGAAATGGATTTGTATCCAATAAAATATTTACTTATTTAGTGTAAATTATTTAATTAGTCAATTTACAAAAGCCTACTGAACCAATCTGTGGGCTCAGATAATAATAGTAGTAGTAGTAATCGTAATGATAAAGCTAATAATAATAATAGTAATAATGGTCATATTTTATATGAAAATTATATTCGAAATAATCCTAGTGATTGAAATTTAAATAGTTTCAATAGTTTCGTCCAGCTAAGTTATCTGGACTTCTTCAGGGTAATAATCAACATAAATATCATCGCTGTCTTCTCTATACTCGGTGCTCAATTTCTGTCAACCTATTCGTTCTAATCTTAACGAATATTCTTATAAATATGAATCATTTATTTCAAACATATTGGGTTTATTTACAAAGCAAACAGACCACATTGTACCATAAAATAGGAAATAACATTTGTAGAGGATTTAGCCAAATGTGGCTGTGAATGTGGGAGGTAGTAATGAATAGACAGGACATAATTCAAGAATGGTGAATTGTATCATAATAGTTCATAGGTCAAAATAAAGCTCATACTAAGAAGGACATGAATATGAATAGTTTAGTTACTTAACTATTATACGATGAAAGTATACGTATGGTATTGGTTCATAAATGGATCTCAACAGTTACCATTCATTATGCTCATCAGGATATAACAGTGATAATAGTAATAATAATAATAGTATTGGTAATAATGATAATAATAGTGGTAATGGTAATGATAATGATAATAAAATTAAACCTACCTTAAATAGAAGTTAATTATATAGAAAAAAAATATAATAAAACAACCGAAAAAGAAACAACAACAAATGACTCTAATTTATTGATTATTGAACAATTCATTCCCCCCCCAAAAAAAACACACTTTCCATTCATAATTTCTAAATAAGAAAATAATATTCCTAATTCAATTTTTTGTTTCTAATTTTAATGAAAGACCACACCCAAAAAATATATAATGTAATTTAATATTTATTTTATGTTTTTGCCTTAATTATAATTATGATTACTATTAATATTGATTTAGATTTTATAAATGTCAGTAGTTGAAATTATGAATCAATTAGAGCTAGATCACCATGGAAAACGTTGAAGTACTTGACGATCGTTTCATCCTAGTATTAGACTCTCTAGCAATGCGCATTGACCATCCCGTACCCCGCGAGATTCGAATCCAGGATTTATTAGTCTCGCACGCATATGCTTAACCACTAGACCACTGAGCCGGCAGGCATACGACCGTGTTAATGTCTAACTTCAACTAATCTACGAAATTGCGCCACCGTACACCATTGTCTTCAGTGAACTGGTCATGGTTTCTCACTAGAACTTCAGGAAATACCTCTTGATGTCAGTCATTAGTGAGCAGATGATTATGATCAGAAGGGGTTTTGTGGAGAGTTTTGGAAACTTTAATAAGTGAATTCATGAGTCAATTGAAGCTAGACCTGAAGGCACTGCTGAGGAGTACCATACAAGGACGAAACGTCCGTCAAGTGATTCCAGATTTTCCATGGTGGTCTAGCTTCAATTGACTCATGATTTCAATCAGTGAAATACATATATGCGCAAGAACAGGTAAGAGGTTATTAAATGTTAGAATCAATGAAACATTAAGGATGGGTAGTGTAGTAGTTGAGTGCAGTTCAGAGCCACATGTTTAGTATCCTCATCCGAGATAATAGAACACTATGGAGTAGAGAGTACATTAGAGCATTTCACATATCAGAAATAAACTTCATCTATAACTTGTATACTGTACTCAATTCAATAAATTTTAATTAATGTAAATAAAACCTCCTATAAAACCAATGATTTTTAACATACTTCTTTTAAAAAGAGGCTTTACTCTTTGTATAAAATAACTCGATTTCTCTCATGTTTTCTCTTCATTATTTTTCTTTTTTTATTGATCAGAAGTAGAAGTTTATTGAATTTGGCCAAGTAAGTTTCAAAAATAATTTATAACAGATTCATACGATTATCAAAGTAAAAAGCCTATTAATTTAATAAAGATGAAATGTTTATTAATGTTACATCCTTTATCTATCTGTTCACTAGTCTGTGAAGAGTGAATGTGCTGCTTCGATCTAGTTTACAACCCCCGATATGATGCGTTACTTAGAATAATCTTGAGATTTGTACAGCTTAAGTTTGAGTTACACCTAAATGATGTTGATAGTAGAGTGAAGATATTGTTCTAACACTGATCTATAACCTGACAGATTGGGAAGTATAGAGAGAAGAAAATTCAACTGATCATGTATGACTGATTTATTCTTGATTCATCTAACTCAGGGAAAAACACACAATTATAAGTGAATGACTTATATATATATGAAATCCCGTTCAGTTCTTCTGCTTGAATCATTGAGTAGTTATTGGTATTACGATTATCTAATTCTTGAATACTGATAGAATTCTATCAGTTAATTTGTAATATGGTCACTAGTCTAAATGAATTGACACCATGTTGTGTTATTGGACGAATGGAGGTAGTCAGCAGAAAACACTTCTTGACCGACACTGCATGCTAGTAATTAAAACGTGCAGTCTGAGCAAACTGATTTAAAGTTTAAATCTGAGTGATATGTATCTAATCTCATTAATTCCAGAGGACTGCAAGTACTCCGTGAGAATGATTGACACATAGTAACAAATCCAATTGAAGGAGGGTTTCCTGTCGTTCACATTCAGTCACTTAAAGTTTTCTTAGACTTTAGTTAATTCAACCAAACTTTTTATTGATCACTCTTTAATCATCTTTACCACTAATTACATGCATGGTGTTGAGTAAATATCATTCGATAGATCAATTATTGATATCTAACTCCTATTGACACAGTGGTGTGCTACTAATATCGACATAAGTAGTATATGACATGAGTGAGAAATATAATGTCTGGTAGCAGGAGATTGAGAAGATCAAGCAAAAACAACGGAAACACGAAACAATTAGTATGGAAATTCATGAACGGTGAAGTCTGAGACGAGTGACTGATATTTACAAAGCGAACAGTCAAGTTTGATACAATTGATTAATATTTTTCCAATTAAGTATTTACTGTATGGTTCTACGACTTTGGTAACCCGCTCTGTAAATCTGGGTTGTAATCCATCCATTTGTCCACCCATTGTGTTCTTGTTTACTACAACACTAGTTAAGTGGAACTGAGAAGAATGTTGCGGTTAGCTATCTTCCGATGATAGGATAATATCAGCTAATGAACCAGATTACTTACACCTGTTACCCCTCGTGGAGGAGCATAGGCCGCCTAATAGCATTTTCCATCCAACTCTGTGCTGGCAATCCTTTCCAGTTCTTTTCAGTTACTATTCATCCCTTTGATGTTTGCTTCATATTACAAACGTAGTGTTCTTGGGCCTTTCTCTTTTCTGTTTCTGCTCAGGATTCAAGGTGAGCGTTTGTCTTGTGATCCGTTTGGTGATTTCCGAAATGTATGTTCTACCCACTTCCATCGTGTTCTACTAAATTTCTTTTCAACTGAAACCTGGTTTGTTCTGTTCTACAATAGGATGTTGCTGATGATTTCCATCCAACAGACGCTGAGTATCTTGCGTCGAAAACTGCTTATAAATACTCCTACCTTTTTTATGATGGTTGTGGTAGTTTTCCATGTTTTAGCTATGTACAGTAGAACTGTCTTGACGTTAGTATTGAGGATTGTGACTTTGATATTGATTGACAGTTGTTTTGAGTTTCATATGTTCTTCAGCTGTAGGAATGCTGTCCTTGCTTATTCAATCAGTGCCTTTACGTGTGCATCCGATCCTTCTTGTTCATCGATGATACTTCACAGGTTCGTGAATGATCCCACTTTTTCCAGAGCTTCTCCATCAGGTGTGGTTGTATTTGGTGTTCTTCGTGTTATATTTGAGGGTCTTTCTTTTCCCCTTGTGTATCCTGAGGCCTATTTCTGTAGAGACTGCTGCTACAGTAGTTGTCTTCATCCGCATTTGTTCGTGTGTATGGGATCGAATAGCTAGGTCATCTGCAAAGTCCAAATTGTTTAGTTGATTCCAAGCTGTCAACACAATTAGCATGCACCATAACATCGATAAATATGACATGAATTGATGCTTGAATTTAGCAAATAAATCTCTAACACTAATAATACATACTTATAACTAGAAAAAGAGAAACATTTAAATCTGAATTAAGAATAAATATCTATTTTTGAAATTAGGTACCATTTTATCTCATGTTAATATTAAATCATTATCATTTGTCATATTGGATATCCATTAGTCTACTCTAATTATATAATTTTTAGGAGTGTTCATGATAAACGACATTCACAAAGTCAAAATGATTTGGATCGTAAATATGTGGATAGTAATGAAAATCTTCAAGATAGTTCACGGATGAATCGATTAATTAAAGGTTTAGATCATCACAGAAGTTCTTGTAAGTTCATGAAAAAAAGAAGAAATTTATGTAGAAAAATTAGTGTTATTTAAGAAATATGATTAATGATTTTTTTAATTATCTTACACTAACTGACTAGAAGTTATCCGTCACTATTCGACAAAATTACATGATTATAAGAAGAAGCAACAAGTCTTAACAGTAGATCCGTAGTTAGGATCTTTTATCGAATTATATCAATTTGGTAACCTATTAGCCAATCCGTTTTATCCAGATTATTTAATTTTTATTTATTTGTATCAGAAGGGGATTATAGCAATTTAAATAGTTGAGATTATGAGTCAATTGAAGCTACACCACTATGTAAAACCTAGAAGCAGTGGACGGCCGTTTCGTTTTATTGCGAGTCTCCACAGCAGTGTGCATCCACGAACCCGCCCCACGAGATTCAAACCGTAGACCTATCGATCTCATGATCTGAACTATTGAAATTACTATAATATCTACAAAACTACCTTCTGATACTAATCAACATATATTCACCAGTGGCTGTCTTCAAGAGGGATTTCCTGGAGTTCTAGTGAGAAACAGTGACCAGTGTAGTTCAACCGGGTCTTCTGTGAGATAGAAACTCACTGATAACAGTGGTAGATGTGTCGCTCATTTTCATGGATTAATTGAAATTAGACATGAACACTGCCGGATGCCGGCTCAGTGGCCTAGTGGTTAAACGTTCGCGCGCAAGACTGATATGTACTGGGTTCAGGTCTCGCGGGGCGGGTTCGTGGATGAACATTCCTTTCGAGGACGAAACGATCGTCCAGTGCTTCCAGGTTTTCCATGATGTTCCAGCTTCAACTGACTCATGATTTCAACTATTGAAATTTTCATAAATCTCCACAAAACCTTTTCTGAAAATGAATTAGATTTTATTTCTTATATTATAACAGACAAAACTTCATTTGAAATTAGTTTTCATTTTTCAGTCATTGATTATTAAATCATTTTCATTAGTTAAATGAATGTTAATTAATTATTCTTTTATTTTGTAGTAGAAACACGTAGAAACAATAATGAATTAGATGATTTAAATGATAATCTTTTCATGAATAAACGATTAACTGATCAATTCAATGGAGGAATAAAACAACAATTACCATTACAAACATTACAAGATCAACAACAACAACAACAACGTCAACATAAAAGTAGTTTATCTACACCGAATTTAATCAATATTCCTGGTATTCATAAAAATCCCAATGAAATCAATAATACTGTTGCTGAGGGTGATTTATTATCTGATAAAAAGAAATCTATCAATGAATTATATCCAAATAAAAATGATACAATAAATGAGACAATAAATGAAAAACAACGAAATAATATGAAAACAGAACAAATGAATATAACAAATATGATGAATTTAATACAGTCAAATATAGATAATGATAATAATGATAATATTGATTCAATTAGTTCCGGTGTTGAAGCAAATGCTGAAGCCACAGAGCAACCATTACAAATTGATGTAAATTTAAACAATATGAATGGTGTTGACGGCGGTGGTGGTGGTGGTGTAAATGGTTTTTGTACTGGTTCAGTGAATACATTATCTTCATCACCATTAAAATCAGCTGATGAAGATGATGATGATGATGATGTGAATGAGAATAATGAATTTGTTAATGATGCATTAAAACAAACTAATAATTCAGATATGTATCAAAAAATGAAAGTTGGTAATTGGCTTGGAGCGAATGGAATAAAATCTATCAAGAATACTGAAGATGATACTACTCCAATTCCTTTAATCAATCCAAAAACAGACAATAATAATAATAATAATAGTGAAACATTGAATAATTTATCCAATGAACAATTAAATACAAAACCATATGTAAGTATAAATTCGGAAAATATTATCAAAGATGATTCGTACAGTCCAATTTCTACTATATCTATATTAAATCCTTATTCAAATAATCTTGAAGAGGCAGAGACTAAATTTATTCCTACTATAAAAAAACCATCCATGAATTTAACTACTACTCATCAAATTGAAAGTAATCCAATCAAATCACAATATAAACAAACTATAATTAATCCTGATAATCAATATTCAATTCAATCAATCAATGATCATTCATCTATCATAGAAACTACAAAACAATCATCAATGAATCGATCGAAATCACTATATTTTAATCAAAATAAATCCATAACAACAATGACGGGAACAATAACAACTACAACAAGTATAAATAGTTTAACAACAACAATACCACATAAATCTCAAACATTATCATATCATCGTATAGAAAATATAAATCCATCGAAATCCTCTATTTATTATCCATATGCATGTAATATAACTACAATACCTAATACAATAAATGATACATTACCACCACCATCATCATCATCATCATCACCATTATATTCATCCAATAATTATGAAATACCATTAAATATTAAATCTATGAAACATTATACAGAATCACGTAAAAATATTATTTGTTATCCTAAATTATCTCAGTCAAGTACAAAGGATCCATTATTATCTAGAAATACTTCACAACATATATCAAGACAATTTACATTGAATAAAATGAAATCAATTAAAGATTTATCCCCACAACCAAGAGATTGGTATCATACAATAACGAATCCAATAGAAGATAAAACTAATTATCAGAATAATATCAATCCTGATATTAATAATATTATATTAGATCCAATAGATAATAATATAAAACAAATAGATGATATGGATCATATAGATACAACATTGAATAAGAAAGAATCTATATCAAATGATTTATTATATAATAATGGTTATTATCCATTATCTAATAAGAAATTAAATTATTCCAATGTTACCCCTATGATTCATACACATAGTAATTATTATAATAAATCAGATAGTATGATGGCACAAACTTTATCACCATTTAATCAAAATGTATTAGATACATCTAATCATGGATCATCATTAGCTAAAGCAACAAAATCAATAAATTTAAATCAAAATATATCATCATCTATTAGTACAAGTGAATTAATCAATAAAACACGATCATATCATGAACCATTGCATAATTCATTAAAATATAATTCGATAATTGATCAATCAATATTACCAACATCATCAATATCATTATCATTATCAACATCGAATTCATTAGCTTATTTAACACAATCATCTAATAGAAATTTATATCAAACCACTAATCCTCTAATTGATTCATCTTCTTATTATAATCAAATAAATAATAATAATAATAATCTAAGAAAAACAACTTATACTAATACTACTAATATAAATGTTAATAGTAGTCAAATGAATAGAACAGCTGGTAGTACTGCTGCATATCTTGCAGCTACCGGTGTTGGTGCATATAAATTAGGTGATTCATTAGCTATATTAACAAATAGAACAGATCATTTAATTGAATCAACTATAAATAATGATAATAATAATAATAATAATGATAATATGATAAGTAAAGAATATCCGAAATCTGTTACATTTAGTCAAAATCATTTAATCACTATTGGGAATAATGAAAATAATAAAAAACTAGTAAGTTATTTTAAAAAAAATTATTTATTTATTATTTATTTGAACACATATATATTGGTATAAGAGGGCACCAAATATATATGCGCCACACCATATTTATCTGTATGTGGACTGTGATACTGCTCGGATGTCCAGACCGAAGCAGGTGGTTTTCTTAGGGTGCCATACCCCGAGCCTTTGACCTAAATGTCTGACCCATAAGGCAGTGAAGCATCGTGAGGAGATGCAATCTCATGGTAGCAGGTGACATTCGCTTTTCGTCCTCTCATTTTCGTAAACAACACTCCCCGACACGAGAAGGTAGTGAGTAGAACTTCTTTGGCAGAGGCTGTATACGCGAGGCCGTGTGAGAGTATTTTGAGAGAGTGGGCGGGCCCATCCCACTCTCGGCCATACCAGGGCATTTTAAAAAAAGTTCCAATTATTTCTAGATTGAAAATATATATTAACATGAATAGAAACTAATGAAAAGAGTTCCATAAGAACTTTTATCTTAACTTGAATGTGAATGAGTTTCACATGATTTAACCTTTAAGTTGATGTAACACATTAAAGAGGAAGAATGTGTGAGTAAGTAATATGTTGGATATACTTTCTACTTCATTCATGAAAATGTTCATCGATCATTAAATATATTGTTTAAATTCACTTGATATTCTTCATTTGAATCTTTCTATTGATGTTTAGGACTGTAATTGATCAGTTTCCTATTAATATATGTGCATCCTATGCGTATTGCCTCTATATAGCCTTAATTCACAAGCATTCTAAATAAAGATTTATAGTGGTGACATAGCAGTGGAATCCAGTTTAACGCACGTTTCATCCTATATAGGACTTGTCAGTTGGATATATCTGCATTCAAGAGTAGATATTCACTATGGGACTCCAATAAAGTGCCTTTCGCTTCAAACGCCATCACGTCATCCATTTAGCTATTGAGTCCTGATAGCCACTTGTTTGTGTAATGGGGCGAAGTTTAAATTCATTTGGTATTAATAAATAATATATTTGTAATATCCCAATGAGTAGAAAATCTACCCAATTTTCAATTTATTCGAAATTATCAAATCAAACCTTGATAATGATACATACAAACTCATTTGGCATTGTTTGTTTGAATCCTCTCATTGATGTTTTGGACTGAAATTGATCAGTCACTCATTGTGTACATGTGCATACTGTGCGTATTACCTATATATAGTCTTAAGTCATAAGTATTATGTGCTAGCAACAATCCATCTTTATCTACAAATATAATGTTTATTTTGAAGTATTTATTGCCATCTAATGCTTCTAGGTCTTCAATGATGGTCTATATCAGATTAATTAGTGAATTTAACTGTGAAAATACTACGGTCTTAATAAATCCCCACATTGATATTTATTCTTAAATTAAAATGGTTGAGTGTTTGCTCAGTGTCTAGTGAAAATTAAGGAAAAAAATGAACTAAACAAGCTGATGAACAAGATATGTCCACTTTAAATATACTTGAGTTCTTTGAGTTTATAGCCCCCAAATGACCTGGTACGGTCGAGAGTGCAGAGAGTCGTCTAGCACTCACGAAATGCTCTCACATGGCCACGTGCATACAACCACTGTCAGGGAAGTCCTACTTATTGCCGTCTAGCGGTGGGGATACTGTTCACGAAATTGAGAGGACGGAAAGAGAATGTCCGGTGCTTTAACCGGGTTGGTGGACATGGAGGGTTCACCTGGGTGAGTTGGAAAATCCTGATTCCAAACCAATGGTGTACATGAGCTTCAGTATCCTGAGACAACAAATGGCATATGAATCAATTATTGTTGACCGCGTACCATGGGATTGTACCAATGTTTATGTGTTTAAATAAAATAAAAATAAAACTTTGAATTTATTAATTTAATGACGTAGCTTTTTATTATGCTTCCGGATAATATGACTAGAGTGTACTTCATCTAGAAATGAATATTTTAGTTATTCAAAAAGTGTTAAATTAGTTTGCCTTGTTGAACTTGTTTGTGTTTGATTGTCTTCTTTAAATCTTGTGTTCAATTTCACTTGGTTGTTTCGTTGATCTCTGATAATTCATTTCAATTTGAATTAATACATTACGAACAAAGTCAGTAGAATAAACCGAATTAAAGCTGATAGAATAAACAATTGACTTAATTTTACATAAATTAAGCGTTAATGATGTTGTCCATAATGGTGATGATAGCTTTTTAACTAAACTATCCAATTCAATGTAATCAACAAGTGTTTAAAGTATTGTAGGCAACAAGAAGTTAGCCAGTTTTTGATAGAGTGTCATCTTAATTTTGTATTCTCTACTTGAATGCAAATGCATTTTATTGAATCTAGCTAAATACCATAAACGTTTAGTTTATGTTATATTCATAATACAAGCCATCTATTTATTGTGATTGTTATCTGGAATCTATAACCTACTACACTGCGACCTATTTATGCAAGTTTTTATGATCAACGATCGATGGTTCGGAATAAGATTCAAGAGACATATTATGAGTTATCTAACGTTTAAAATCGATTGATCACAGGTTAGTGACTAATGTCGCTTGTGTTCAGTATTGATCGAATTTTGTTAATCAAGTTACAATGTGAACACTAGTATAAGTGTCAACATTTGTATACAAGAATCCCTGTTCTCGTACTCGTCAGCAAGGTATATCTTAGAATTTCAAGGAAGTAGTTTTTTTCAAAACAGCATCATCCAGTTTTGCAGTTTTAATCCCTCAGGTAGCATTATTTCTCTCTAAATTACTGGTTCGGATTGGTGATATGTGCTAACTAGCATGAAATATATTTCTGAGGTTTCCTGCTGACTACCTCCAACCATCTGAAATTTATCTTCTAATGGTCACGAAAGTGTGTTAGCTATGACATAAGCTCGACTAAATTCCTTTTACTTGAAATAAATATTAAATCATTGTCAAATGTATTTCCTTAATCTATCTTCATATTAATGGAATGCTTTCTTGTCAAAAGAATTTAGTAATCTTTTTATGCTTTAACTGAATCTTAACACGCGAGATGCTTATATGTTAAGTCGCTGATGGTATAAACGTTAAGTCACTATGTAGGACTTGAAAAAGTAAAAAAGAATGATTGTTTTTCATCTTACGGCGAAATCAAGGATTGGTTGAAGTGTGACTAGGAATATATTCTGCAACTGTGATTCACTTCCAAATCGTTGATATTCGAAATGGGAACACCTAGATCTTCACACAGAAATTCAAAACATTTATGTAATCAGTCGATGAATTAGTTCTCCCAAAGAAAATATCTACACAAATTACATGAAACTATTAGGAGTTTAATGGTTGAGTTTATGAATCAATTAAAACTAGACCACCATGAAAAATCTAAAAGCATCGGGTGGCCGTTTTTTTTCTAGCCTGGGACACTTCAGGAGTGAGCATCTACGATCCCACTCGCTGGACTCGAATCCAGGACCTTCGATCACGAGCGCGGACGCTTAACCTTTGGACCACTGATCCGGCATTCACTAGTGTTAATGTCTAACTTCAACTAATCCACAAAATTGCACCACCATCCATCACTATTAGGAATCACACGAAATCTATAGACAAGACTATGTGATCGATTTTTACAATAACTCTTTGTGTATGACAAAGTGGAAAATTAAGCAAATGAAAATAAATATTGAACATTATTTCTAATATTAATGATACTACATTATTAAAACTGATGAAACCAAATTAAATGGTGGGGATTTAGGAAAAAACTTACTTTACTTACTTACTTGCGTCTGTTACTCCTAATGGTGCATAGGTCGTAAACCAGCATTCTCCAACACACTCTCGCCTGGGCCTTCCTTTCCAGTTCTATCCAATTTTTATACATTATTTTCATATCACTCTTCTTTACTGGGAGTAATGTGTTCTTAAATCTTATTCTCTCTTGGCCTTGAGGATTTCAAGTGAGGGCTAGCCTCCACCTGGAGCCCCCGTGAGGATACTGTCGGTTTCAAGATTAGACAAAGAGAAGGGTTGGGCATGGGGTTAGTAAACCTTATTCCGTAGAAAACTAATTCGCTAAAAAAACACTATCCAGAAAAAATCAATTCAAGAAAAAAAAACCAGATTCTGAATGAAAAATTAAAAAAAATCGAGAAACATTAAATTAACGACATTGAACATCATGGTACATCATCATGAGGTTGTGTAACAAAAATTGATTTTTTCTTTTGGTTTCTAGTTGATATCTGCATTGTAATAAGAATTATAATTTCCCCCCTTTTTTTCATTGATTCTTATAGGAATCTCAAACAAAGACATCTAGTCATTATTCAATCAAGCAAACTTCTTCTTATACCCCATCAATACCACCAAAACCAAGTTATATACAATCAATTAATAATCAATCAAGAATAATTAATCAATCTAGAGAAAATAACAATATTACTACTACTACTACCACTACTACTACTATGACTACTACAACTACTAATGATAATAATGTTAATGATGCTGAAGAGGAAATAATTTCAAGTAGAACATTTTCACGAAGGTTAGCACCTTTGTATAGATCATATTATAAAATTTCATTAGTTCCATCACATGTTAAAACTTCTTAGGAATTGTTTAAATAAGTCAATTTCTTTTGTTTCCCTCCTTTTTTCCGTTTGTTTGTTTGTTTGTTTATCCAAAATGTAATCACTGATAGAGATGATGGATATTTCAATTTGTTACGTAATAATTATATCAAAGATATTGTTTTCATGTAATAGGTGATGGTTTAATTTCATTTAAGTTAATGAATATTTGATTATGTTTTATAATAAAATGAAATACTATAGTCATCTTTGTCATAGATTTGAACTACATAATTATCATTTTAACTGTTTCATTATTAATTAATGAATATGAAATAAGATTTGTTTAAAGATAGTTGATAGATTTAATTAATTACTTACTTATACCTGTTACTCTTGATGGAGTATAGACCGCCGACCAACATTCTCCAACTCACTCTGTCCTGGGCTTTCTTTTCCAGTACTATCTAATTTTTGTTCATTCTTCTCATGTCTGTCTGTATTTCACGATGTAATGTGTTGTTTGGTCTTCCTTTTTTTTTCTTTGGATTCCATGTGAGGGATTGCCTTGTGACTCAGTTGGGATAAGTATTGAGATAAATATGTGATAGCTCCAATTACTGTATCATAACAGTGGAACAAGATATGGTTCGAAATGAATGTATAATAGAGAGAATACTAGAACTGAAGATTTAAGAAAAGATAATGAATGAATACATCTGTGCTAATATGAATGACTCTGAGTTATGTCATGCAACGTCATGAACCACTGATTACGGTTATCACTGGGACCTGGGATCAAGTAGTTAACATCAACGTGCATAAATCAGCCCATTAATTGGTGGACAGTTCTGGTTTAACTGTCCTTATGAACCGAATTCTCGTGATTCTCATGTCTTCCATTGTCCTTCTGAATTCTTCACTGATGCAAATATGATCTATCCAGTTCTTTGTGGTATGACCCGGTGAGACCCATGTAGCTTTGTTTATGCATGTGTATGGGAATATTGTTGAATGAACATAGATTTTCAAATCTGTCATCATTCTCGTTCCTTTCTCTCAGTTCGTCCATGTTGTACCATGATATCTCCATATCCAGTGTTGTCTATTCCAACTTTGGTGTATAGATCTCTCATTAGGATTGTAAGGTCCTCTTCCGTGCACTTCACCAATGATTGATTGTAACCTCTCATAGAACTGAACTTTATCGTCGCCATTGCTATTATTGGTGGGTCCATAACATTAGATAACATTCATTGTGATTCCCTCCTTCTTTGTTTTGAAGGGTGCTTTGATGAAACTGTATCCATGAGATTCCTATTTTATAAGTTCTTTACGTGCTTCTTTGGACAGCATCAGAGCAACTCCTTGAGTGTGTGGGGCAATTTCCTCTTCGTGATCGTAGTACAGCAGAATCTGTCCCGAGTATAAGTTGTATCTCCTAATTTGTGTGACTATTTGACTGGTCCTACCAGTCCCCCGCATTTTCTGGACATTCTATGTACCTACTATAATGGTTGTTCTGGTTGTTAGAAGGTGTATCATCCACGTGATTTCCGAAGAATCTCGACTTTCATCATGAGGCATAATAATTCTTCAGAGAGATCTTTATACTCATAGGACAGAGTTTAGGCGGGTTATTTTTTCAATCTGGTTAGTGTAATTATAGGAACGTTGTTTTCTATGGGACGGGGTTGTTTATTCCATACTCAACCCTCCTCCTTTATGTTGGGCTTGGGACCGGCAGTAACTCTAGAATAACTGCCAGCGGATTATTTGTTATACTACTTATTATATAAAAGTAGGCGAAATTGTAAAGGTTTTTTTCCAGTCCATCGTTTGTATTAGTGGATGTTTTTTAGACAGATTATTCATATTGGAATACCAATTTTCATTATGAATAGAAATATTTGTATTGCATCGGAGAAAGGGTTACTTTGATGTCCTAGGCAGTATAGGCATTTTCACTTCTGAGGAAGATACATTCACCATAATTTGACAGAGGTTACAGTTACTTGAAACTCTTAGTATCGTCAGGGTATATTATTCCACTCAAGAGAACAGCTGGTCTTTTTTTTGCATTGGCGTGCACAAGTCATGAAGTAAACAGTAAAAAGTCCACCGAAAGAGGATATAATCTGTGAGCAAATCTATTCTGTCGGACTACTGTACTGTACAGTCACAGTTTAGGAAAACTGAGTTTTTGAATAGCCCAGTTAGAATTCCAATGATAATAACTGAGGAGTAAGGGACGTGCAAACGTTTTTCCAATGACTATTAGTGTAAACCAAGTTCTCAATAGTTGAAGAACTAGTAGTGTTACTGTTTTTCCAGATTTTCTCTTAAATATTCTGTTCAAAATGAAGGTGGAATATTATATTTTAGTGACCCGAGATCTGACTCCATAACAGAAGGCTGCGTGTTTAAATCACGTCGGGATCACCAGAACCCGGGTCACAAAAATTCTGAAACCATTATATAAGTTTCATTATGTGAGTATAACAACACATGATGTTCGGATCTCTAAATGAATATGAATCGGATTTACATTTCTAAAGTGAAGGGAGAATAAATATCTACAAATATGAATGATGTGTACAGTCCAACTGTTTGTATTAAGAAAATTCATATTATTTCGGTAATAATGCATCAATGCAATACATATGCCACTTGCTTTGTGTGTGAGCTGTAATACCGCCCGGGTGCCCAGATCGAAGTTGGTGGTTATGTTAGGAGGCCATACCCGGAGCTTTCGAAGTAAAGATCTGATCCACAAAGCAGTGGAGCAACGTCAAGAGATACAGTCTCATGGTAGCCGACAAGTCTAAAAAGAGTATTTTAATAAGCATCAAAAGCATTTCCTATTTTTTAAACTTAATTAACATGATAAAGAGCGTTAAAACTAGCAGAGAGAGAGAGTCCTAGAGTTGTGATTTATCAGTTTAATCTACTATTTGAACAGAATTTTAGTCCCAACAATTAAAATCATATTAATAATTATTAAATAGTTAAAATGTCAATCTAATATTTAGATTAAAATGTTCTGATTAAAAGACTTTACATGAATCAATATAATTCCTGGTGAGCGGCTTATACTCCTCCAGGAGGGCTAACAGGCTAAAGTAACTAATTCAATAATATCAACACAATATGAATCATTTAAATCAATTAATCTTAATTAGTAATATAAATAAAATTATGAGCAACAAGTACAATCTTTTTTGCTTTTTAGCTTGGATAACACCCTGATTAGTTTAATATTATAATATTGATACAATATTGATTGAGTTTATTCTTTAAATAACTTCACTGTTAATTAATTAATGCCTGATTGCTGATTTTCTACATTTCTTAATCAGTGTATTTTAAATGTAAACGCTTTATGGTTATAAAGATGGATAGTGGCTAACAGTGGAATCCAGTTTGACGCGCGTCTCGTTCTATTTGGCAATTTTTCAGCTGGATCTACCTGCATCTCAAAGTTGATGTTCACTATGCAACTTGAACTCAATATCGTTCGCTTCAAACTCCATCGCGTTATTCACTTATCTACTGAGTCCTGATAACCATCTGATTGTGCGATGGGTTAAAGTTTAAATTTACTTGATGGTGTTTGAAGCAAACGGTACTGGGTTGAAGTCCCGTAGTGAACATCAACTTTGCGATGCAGGTACATCCAGTGGACGAGTCTCAAATAGGACGAAACGTGCATCAAACAGGTTTTTACTGTTAGCCACTATCCATATTTGGTTAAAATGCTTGTGACTTAAGGCTATATTGAGGCAATCCGCACAGGATGCACATATGCTAACACGAGACTGATTAATTGCAGTCCTAAATAACAACGGGATGATACACGTAAAACAACACTAAGTCAGCTTAATGGTTGTATTTCAACAACATACTTCATAGATATTCGTAATAATAATAATAACAATTCTATATTGTACCAAAATATAATATTGAATAAAGCCATTAATAATAATTAATAATAATAATAATGAGAGTAACAGTACAGAGGTTGAATATGTGTGACAAGCATAAAGCATGGAACTGTTTCCCTAGAATTTACATTTTTCGGGAATATGAATATTCCTAAATATATTAGATAGTTAACATATCTGAAAGAATATTGAAGCCTGGATTAGTGATATCCATCACTAGGGACTCGATTATCATTATTATTATCTTGTTGATGAAAATATTATCTAAGAGATTAATTAATCAAAAATTCAAAGTTGTTAAATGATGTAATAGACACAGATAGTGTGAAATTGGTCTAAATTTATTGGCACTAATCATTAATCTAAACACTAATATATATATGGGTTGGTCATTGAATACTGATCAGTTTGAGGGTGCATGCTACTGACGTCGACAGATATCAGTAGTATGTATCAATAATCGGAAGTGAAATGCTTGATGGTAGAAGGTTAAGAAGATCAAAGAAAAGAGAACAAGAACAGAAAATGATTGGTGTAGAAACGAGAGAACAATGAAGTCTGAGACGATTGATTGGTATTTTGCAAATGAATTATTTACTGTACGGTTCTTAGATTTTACTATGATGTTCTGTAATTTTGTATTCAAATACATTCAATTGTTCCCATTTGTGTTCTCATTTACTACAACATCATCTAGAATAATCTACAAACGTGTACTTAATGTGTTATCCGACCTAGTGGTTATCTAAACTTAATGGATAACGAATTGAACTTTTGAGGCTAATAATACTTGAATCAAGACTGTATGTGAACATCAACAGTAGGGTAAAGCTGTGTTCGGCTGACGAGACTCAAATAGAATGAAACGCTACTCATTAATTCCATCACTAGCTAATACATATCTCCTAATTATTACTGATAAATAAAGCTAAGAGAAATTCTTGCTTACTGTAGTCATCTGCGTAGATACTGATTTTTGACCATCTTCTTCGGTAGTGAGAAATTTAGAGTCTATTGCGAAATTATTTATT